GTGTCAGTTGATTCCCAAATAGGGGATCGTGATTCCCGGGGGGAGTAATCATTTTTCTCCGTGTAGCTGCCACTTCAGAGTCAAACGGGTATAAAACGTGAGTTTTTGGAAAGATGTGCACTAAATCATCCGTTGATATGGCATTTGCATGTCAAACATTTGACAGATACACAGGATTTATTGTGCCGTTTTGTCATTTCGAATATGGTTTACATATAAAACAGGCTTTTACTGTGTCATATGACACCTGCTATGTGACGCGCGCTGATTCGTCAGTTGAATGACTTTTTCACATATGTGAGCATCTTTTCGCAGCTCCTATATGGGGAGCTGCTCCGACATGAAGAGCTGCGAAAAAAAACCATTTCGAAGCAGATCTCGAACAGAGAGCGAATGTCTCTAAGCCAAACCAGGAGGCCCAATTTGGGGTTTATATAATTCCCTCCACCTAACAGGCGGAGGGCACTTGCCTCACCAAATGCTGCTAAAATACTACCCCAGCACTCAGAAAAGTGCCTCTAAGTGCCCGGAACGGTGAAAAAGACCGGCCTTGAAGCTCAATCGCACCGAATCATTATCCATCACACCCTATTGTAAGCTCGAAATGAACACTGCACCTGGAGAGCGCCACGTCATAGTGCAATCACGATACGTACGAGTATACCGCAGCAACATGTTTACTAGGCAGGTGACAGAGACCGCTGGGCACGTCATGATAGCCACGTGCAGGGGCGCGGTGGTGAGCGCTCCGTGTTTCGGCCGAGGCGCGCCTCTGTTTTGGAGCCGAAGCGAGCAGCTGCGGCGCGATTGACGTGGGCTGGGCGACAGGTCAGAGCGGGGCATCGAGCAGGACGGTCCAGGTCCGTGACCGAGAATGGTGCGCTGATGTCACCGTGACAGTATCGCCACGGAGGAGGACATGCCCGTCACCTGGGCGCGCGTCAGCGGCCTGGTCGGCCGGAACACACGCTGACATTCTGTAAATGCTAATTGAAACTCGACACTTCACTGCGTTGAGCTGCGTTTCAACAATCTGGAATACGTTAACCCGCGCACCGACGGGGGGTCTGCGCCAACTTCGCACCGACGGGGGGGGGGGCGGATGACCGCCCCCCCCTGAGATCTCGAGAACGAAGCAAGATAGCGACAAGCGGTAAACGGCATCGGATACGCACGGTTAAGATCTACAATTTTTACTAAGGTCATTTTCAGGTCAGGTCAAAGATGACGTCACAGGGGTCGAAAAAGTCAAAATGGCGGCGCTAGATATGGAGAGTTTTTCTCGAATAACTTTCGAATTAGTCAAGATAGGAACAAACTAAGGGCATCATCGTGATCCTCTCGTCAATCCGCATCGAATGATATATATGTTGACCTCGAAAGGTCAAGGTCAAAGGTTGACCTCAGGTCACGTGACCTCGAGGTCATCATGTATATCATTCGATGCGTCTTGACGAGCTGAACACAATGAGACCATCCACGCGTCTGTATCTTGTTCCTGTACGGAGTTATTGGCCAAAAACCTTTGGTGACCTTTGATGACGTCACATGACCTCACAGCTGCCCAACAGCAAAACAGACCTCAAGGTAGTGAAGGTTGATCGTATATGAAGTCATGTATGGTATATGGGGCCATTCCGACCCGTTTTAGTGGTAAAAACAGGGAGTTGATTTTTCCCCCATTGACTTATAATGGGGAGGTCGCGAAATTGACCTGACCTTAGGTCACCGATATCAAAATTCCGAGATATACAAATTGTAGCTACTAATGACCTTATAACATCCTGCGACTTTCAAAGGCCTCCGACATCTACTGTAGCTCTGGCACGGTGACAAAGTTGCAAAAAAGTGACTTGAGGTTGGGTCATTCAAAGTGACCTGGTGACCTGACCTTAAAAGGTAGGAGGTTCAAACTTGCACACCATGTGTAAAATTGATGAGGTTATAGTCATACCAAATTTCGCGGCGCTACGCGCCGCGGTTTTCCCGCTATCCGCGAAAAACCTCAGGGGGGGGCGGATATCCGCCCCCCCCGTCGGTGCGCGGGTTAAACATGTGATGGACCCCGTAATTGTAAAAGGCCAAACATTCCTCTTGATTTTTAGCGATATCAACTATGACAACAAGCAGTAAAAATGCATACAACATTATTGCGCTGCAGTCTGCTGGAAATATACATACGTCGTCATAAAAGCGAGCAGCACCAATGCATGATGCATCTTCAATGATACCCACATCCTGGAGCCTCCTCAAAAATCCTGGTGCGGAGCTGCTCAATTGCGTCACTCCTCACAACAGTCAATACCGATTCATCTCCGGATTCAGCATCCGAAATATCATAGCCTTCAAAACTTTGCATCTTTGCGACGGCTCCATCCATTTCGCTCTGCTACCTGGGAGCGGCTCTGGCCGGTTGGGCTAGGTCGTCACGACTTCTGAGCGCGCGACGGCCGCCCTTCAGGCGTGCCTCGGCGCCTGATCACCGTTGTTTTGCACGCTGCATTGGGCAGAGGAAGCTGCAGGCTTTAGACTATCGTCTTTAGAATCGGTGCAAGCTGTGAGCAGACGCGGGATGAAGCGGTACGGGGCGGCGGCAGATGGTGATGGACAGGAACACCTGGGGTGATGGCCAGAGACAGAGGGCGGAACGGCAACGGGACACGAAACGCAGCTAATAGAGAGGATTTGGAACGGTGGACGGTGGCAGATGCTCTCAGCTCTCTGTCAGTGGTTCTTATTCTTTGAGTGCAAACTAGAACGCAGCTTGGCTCAACCCTAACCAAAAAAGTGGACCACGATTCAGATTGTTCAGACAGAGAGACATGTCAGTAATATTATCATGAAAAGGACATGAAAACGTTACATTTCTGTTACAGGCAAGACAGTGAGTGCAAGACTGGTGTGGTTCTGCTTAGTCCTCGCCACTTGGCTATTGTCTGCACAGTCGTTCATTATCCATTTTGACTAGACTGTTTCACTTGCTTGCATCGACGCCCGGCGGGTCCATATAAAATGTTGACCATGATACAAGAATGATATGAATTCATATTTCTTCAATTTTATCACGGACACCGCAGTAAGATAGAATAAACGTCTGTGGGGTGTATAAAGAACAATTTGCTCCGGCTCAGACAGTGTTCACAACTCATGTACACATGCCAAGGACGTTTCACACCTATAACGCAACGCTTCCAAATACGAGCCGCAAGTGACCTAACCGTCACTGACGCGCCACCGTTGGCGTTTAGATGGACAAACAGGTATAGGATTCTTTCACGGTCGACATGCCAGCCTGGAATGCGTGTGGGCTGACACTAGTTGTGTCGTCACCAGTCGCCTGTCCTTTTAGGTAGCAGTGACACGCGGCATACCGGGGCTAATTAATACCGGCGTAACGTCATCACGGGCCAAATTAGCGCCCTCAGCGGCGGCGCGTTATCAGTCCCGTTACGGGACTAAGTGCCGACAACTGCCGATCTAGAGACGTGATATGTTTATTCAAATCACACGGCAGCATTTTGGATGCGTCATGAGCGCCAAGCGTGAAGTGATGGTTGATAATGATTTAAACATCGGCATTGTATGCAATTCCACTTTGTGTAGCGTGTCCCAAAATGGTGAATGATTTTTTTATGCAACATAGCCGTTATAAATTTACATCAAAGCTGCAAAATGGAACTTGGAAGTAACAAGAAATGTAACTATTCGTTACGTGATAGACACAAAAAAGCACTATTCCATTCTCACTCTAATCGATCACGATTCTCACGCTCCTACGCCAAACCAAATGCTATTGCACCAGTTCGGTTTCAGGTCACTCTCAGGTCACCCTAAGGTCACCTTCGAGTCACCTCAGATCCCCACTCGGCTCACGCCTGCCTAAACTAACTGGCCGTGCGTGGCTGCGGCACTCCCTGGCGGCACTCCCAGCTCCCGGCTGCGTCTGCGGCGTCACCGATCACCTTCCAGCACCTTCTGAATATGGATCCCGCCGCCGAGAGGTCGCCGTCGAGGTCCGATCGTGTCGACCGGAACCCGTTGGTGTGGACCACACCCACGACGAGGCACGGGGGCACACAAACAGAGGTTCTGACAGCGTGGAGGAAGCTAGCGCGGCTTTTGAACGCAGCTGCGGGGACAGTTAGTGGCGCACTTGCGGGCAGTTTATATCGGCCGCTGATCGTAAAAGTGGTCGCGTTCGGCCTTACCTCGACGGGTGACTGGAGTTGGGTTCGGTCTTGTTAGAATTTGTCCGGATTCTTACGTGAAATGCGATGGAGATTATAATTCAGGGACTATCTTGGTCATTCTTGACCTAGCAAAGCAATCGTGATAAACGAATATCACTAACGTGTCAGGCAATTGATTCGCAATTTAAAGGCATACAAAATACAAATACAAAACCATCAAAGATAAACCATTCCAGGTTTTCTTGAGCAAACCGGTTTCTGTACCTAAAACGCATCCGAACAGCCTTTGCATGCATCGGCATGTGCACATAACATAGCAAACATAAATAGTTGTGTTTAAGTACGAATTTACGTCCAAATTTTGAGCCGGACCTCTTCCCTAAGATCATCAGAATGTGCCGAATTAGACGACCATTACAGCTCCGCCGACAAACAATTGTGTAGCCGGAGGTCAGACGCCACGGGAGCAGTGGCACGTGGCGCAACGGCCTCCGTGGCTCCTCGTGGTGGTTCGTGAGGTAACCGTCTCGCCGGGGTGCCGGCCCAGCCACCGCTCATGACTGCGATTACGCCGCGGTTGGCATCGAGTGCGCCGCCTCTGTCGCCCAACAGTGTGGGAAGCGATTTCGCACTCTTAATTGCTCCACATTTGAGCGCACTTTCACTGGTCGTTACTGTTGGGGTTGCGAGGGGCGTGGGATAGGTGATGGGGGCGGGCGCGCATCCTCCACCCTGGGCCGGTAGTTGGTCGGTTCCCCGCCAGGCGGCGCGCAGGTCGGCGGTCGTTCCAGGACCGGTCGACCGGCCGACTCAGTCGGTGCCGGTGCTGGTGTGGTGGTGACGTGTGGTCGAGGTGGAGTGGTGTTGGTGCCGTTGACTTATTCCAGTGGATTATTGGTGAGTCGGACTGGCTAGTTGAATCGGGATTATTTTCATGGTTTGCCAAGCAGGCACGTCTCTCATGCGTAAATTGTTAAATATTATGACAATTGTATGGTTAATTGTACTTTTCACATTTTCACTGTCATTCACAATATAGCACACCTTATCCCTATCCCTTCCATTGTCATCAGATCGCCAATCGAAACCTGTGTGCCCGAGTTATGTCTTTGCCCTCTGTTCGACCCTTGAGTTTCGACCACACGTTGCCATGGTTACAGATCAGCTGACCGGGCCAGCGCCGACCTCTGAAGGATGCTGGTGGACAAGAGTCGCCAGGGCCGCCGGGCAGGCCCGGCGCCTATGAACCTGACCAGCTATAGTCAACTGATGGCCCAATCAGAGCGGGGACGGAGTCAGGTCGCCGCGGGTCGACAGACACAGGTAGGTTACCGGATCAGGATGCCTGAGTTCCTCCAGTACAACGAAGGGAATCAGATTACTAACCGGGGCTCCTATGCTCCCAGGGCGGGTCTGTGAAATAACTACGTCCTACCAGTCTCCCAGATATGTTCGCTCATAGACAACGTCAGCTGTAAACAGCTCTTGGTCGGCATGTTTCCAAATGGTCCCCACAGTGTCAGAGGCATGTGCGGTTTCATCCGGTTTACGAAAACCATCAAAGCAATTCAAAGCTTTACGTTGCATGTTCACAAATAAACATCGATCGTTCTAGCTAAAATCATTCGAAACGATAAGCACAACTGTAAGACGGTAAAGTCAAAATGTATAAAGTGTAATAGCCCTAAATGGTATACGGGACTCCATGCGTGATGCGAATCTTATTTATTAGCTTCTGGCAATGCATTTAAATTTATGTAAGTACTGCAACGTATGTACATCGGTGGCTCTATAGCGTAAACCAAAGGACACGGGATGGTCCAATGCGGACGAAATGCCAAAATCTGAAACAAAGACAAAGGCTGGCCCGTTATCTCACGGGGGCGGAACGCCATGTAATTTTTCCTGTGGGGTCATCTCAAGTCATGTATATGTCTTGGATTTTCCGAGTTCCTGACGGACATTTTTTCTTTATTAGGCTTCACCAGCTTCCGTGATGAGACATTCAAGTTTCAACCATGAATTCTTTTGACTATGCACGATTTTAATTTTTCGTGTTTCATATATTCGCATCCAAGGGCTCAAAAGGTCATCATTTGACCATAAATCCCGAGAACCAGATTGACGGTGGTCGATCCGAACTGCATCGTTTGATTTGTTTGGAAGATACCGATCGAAAAATGGTCAGTTCAGCCTCTATGGAGCTCTGCTGTTCTGCTTAATTAAGTCACTGTATGCACATGGAAATAACCGTTCAAATTGTTTTGACTTTCACGTGTCAGTTTGACGAATGATTTATTAGTATCGCTGATACCAAAATTCATAAATGAGCCTTTTGAATTATGTTTTTATAAGGAAAGGCCCTTGTGATAACAAAGCTACTGTAACTATTGCATTCATATATCATTGATATTCGACACTATACCCACCACTTTTAATCGAAGCACATCAAAGCACGCGCCTCACGTTGTCCATTTCGTGCCGCCTTTACATATACTGGCTCATGACTCGTGCAGTAGACCGTTACCCCGAGTCTCCGGGGCCACTGAGCCCACAGTGGCCGTGATCCATTAGCCGCGGCACGGTCCATCTTTCCTGGTTCCGTTTCTGTTGATAACTGCTCGTGGGTGGCGGTGAACTGCATTGGAATGTGCTGTAGAGCCTAGCTCGAGGCCTGACAGTGATAATTATCTCACATATTGGCTCGTAAAACCTGCTGTTAGTGAGCGATTGAACATGGCTGATGCTATTGTTCTCTAAGCCGATATGAATTACCGTGACAGCGGGCAGGCTCACGGCGAAGAAGCTATAGATTATGTCAAGCGATCTTCAGATGCTTGCGATATAATAAAAGGTTACCTGAGCGCGTTCACCAGCTCACCCGGCCTGAAAGATTTTAGTCGTCAGTGAATTCCAATAGAAATACTGTTATGTCTTTCGTTGAAAACAACTCACGACAAATTAAACGGAAGCATAAGCATTCCCAGAGTATATCACGAGCAGGATGCTGTGCATATTTTATGCCATGATTTGGAGAAAATTGTTGCCCAGTTGGAACGAAAGGAAATAATAACATGCTGACATTTCACGCGTTTCAATCGCGTGGATGGCAAAAATATTTCCATGCTTATCTACGTGCATGTTGATCGCTTTCCCCCATAGTTCCACTGCTAACAATCCTTGATATCTTTTCTCTTATCACTTGCGAGATTTTGCCGAAGAAGCGCCATTCGCATTCGTCTTTCTGATCTCTCCCTTCAATTTTCCATTTGTCATCACTCTGAAGAGCGCCTTCGAGCACCTCTGACCTGCCACCGGTAGCCGGCGGCCCGCCCTCCCATAACACACTTGGACGACTGCGAAAGGCGGCGGCACCCTTTCACCTATTCCCGGCCACTGGGCTGGCTGACTGACTGATCCGAGGGCTTATTGGGGACAGTGGGCTCTGGTGAGGCGTGACCGAGCCAGTCGCCTCGCATAATGAACTTCATTTTCGGGCTCGCTGGATCGGCACTGGCCAGGACGAAGTGATGATTTTGAAACCTTTTTATCAAATGATTTTTGCTCAAAATATATGGCTTATGGCATACATAGCAGTCCTAAATATAGGACTGAATTATAGGTGCAGTGCTTTCTGCATGAAAGAAATGCGCATGTACTATAAAGATGTATTTTTATTTTTGACGTTTTGAAGAGGACCTGTCATTCATAAGAGGCACATTGTTGAATTTCGTTTCTATTACCACCACAGCACCACCCACAGGGGCTCGTCACCGCCGTGGCGCCACGCGGGCAGCCAGACACCCGCTTCTTTGGACACCCGCACCCGTGCCGGTCATGCACGCCCCCCCTCCACATGGTCTGTGGAATGTGCGGGCAGGTGTGGCACGTGACGCCCCCCCCCCATCCTGACGTAGCACCGACTCGACCGGTTCAAATTCAAACCGATCGGCTGGCTCGGCTCTGCAGGACGCGCGCGTGCTGTCCGCTGCGGGCGGGCTGTCCGATTGATGTACGAACAGGCGCAAAGGTCACGTGCTGACCGGAGCGGATGTATCGCTCACACGCCCCGGGGCCGGCCGGCGGCACGGCTTTGATCCTGCGACGGTGAACCGCGCTTTGATCAGGCTTTCGTGCATGACGTGGCTTTCTATTGCGGTGGAGTCTTGGTCATGAACAGACTTGTTTAGTGTCATCGTCCGGTGGGGAAAGAGCACACTCGCAGCAGGTCCTCATATTGACTCTAAATTCGTTAGATACCTGATCATGCGGTCAAGCATAATTTTCAAAATATTATGAACCGGTTCACCATCTAGGGACGTTTTGAAAACTTATGTCTTATCGCGATTGGCAAATATCATCAAAGCCAAATGTATATTTTTTCACAATGACCAGGCAGAAATAATTGGTACTGACGCTTGCGATTTTAACCCGGCACCGCCTGGGCTATTTCCGTATACGGAAATAGCCCCCAGGCTGTCGTGGGTATACCCACGACAGCCTGGGGGGAGGGGGGGGGTCGGACCCGACCCCCCCTGTTATCTCAAGAACCAATGGTCGTATCGAGCCCCGCAAGGCGGCGTTCGAAAGGTCTCTACGAGACCTTCCCAAAGCACTCTTAAGATTTTAAGGTTGAGGTCAACTTTCCGGTCAAGGTCAGGTCAAAGGTCAAATTCTGGGGTTTTGCATGATTAGGCTTACGGACAGCGGAATCGATAGCTGCTGCTCGAAACTCACCAAAAATGACCTCAAAGACCTAGTGAAAGTACCATGAACGTATAGGGGTCATACTAAGTACGGGTCAAGGTCAGGTCAGGTCACGAAAGGTCACGGTTTTCACTTTCTGCTACATGGGCGTGCGACACATGTTTTATGGCTTGTTTTTCACGCCGAATCCGATGGTAATGGTTATATTATATGTGACCCCAAGTCACTGTGCTGGTGATAAGTGTGCATTGAAAGCATAGAAAATCGTTTATACCATACATAACTAAACGAGGGCTAAGAAGAAAAAAATCAATTTTTCAACTTTTTATTTTTGACATAAAAATGCCTTTTTCTAGACGAGCTTTGTCCCAGAATCTAGTGGTGCCATTTGTTTTCACATGCGATGTTCAGAAGTGCCTCTAATTCACGAAAATGCTTATGACGTCACCATGCCCTATGCATGTTGGAGCTATATTTTACAATTTGGGGGTCAAAAATCAAGATAGGAAGTTGAACTTTGGGACATCTAATGTTCTAACAGAGCTCTATAACATACATTCTGTTTTTTGGAAATTCCCAAAGTTCTGGATTTTATTAGCTGTTTTCCAAAAAAATATAGTTTTTTATTTTTCAGGGGTGAAAAACGCATGTTATGGAACATCCAAGATAGCCATTTTAAAGAAATCGTTGAGCTGCGTCTATTCATGTCCTTTATTTGCAATTTGCTTTAAACCTCGATTTTTGGCGATTTTTTAAACATTTACCACTTTTTGACTAAAAACGCCATGTAATTACATCACTAAAATCGAAATATCTCAAACATTTTTGGAAAATTTTCTTAAAAATTACACAGGAGACGTCAAATTGATATGGGAGAGAAGGTATGCCAAGTTTCAAGTTGGGCATAAGCGGTTCATGAGTTATTTAAAAAAACGGAGAGGGGGGAGGGGGTCGGATCCGACCCCCCCCCCCCCCCCAGGCGGTCGCGGGTTAATCAAGTAAAAATCATTGCCGGCAGACCCACGAATATCTTTCGGCCCGTGAACTCGGTAGTTGAGAGTCGGAAGGCGTCCCGCTGCCGCCAGTGGTGTCATTTCCTTGACCGCTCACGTCCTCCGGAGCAGAAATATTGGAAATGTGGAGCCATTAAACGGGATTTGACCCCCGTTTTGCCGAACCGTTGACGTCAGGATGGTGACCACGAACATTGGGGAACACTCTCTCTAACCGAGACCCAAGTCGATTGCAAAGGAATCGCAGTGTGGTCGTGGAAGACGCCAGCTCTGTGGACGTCTAATGGAGTTTGGGTGGTCCGGTAGATGCATGTGAAGGAGGTCTTATTGACTGGTGCCGTAGTTCCTATGGAGGGCACTTTCGATAAATCAACGTCACCTTTAGGCAACAAGTATAGGCATAGGGGTCGGAGTTTGGTTGATATGCGTTCCGTCCTTGTAAAAGCTACTGTCTTTCTGACCTCCCAATAACTGATTCCGTTATTCGATTTATTCGATAGCAGGAAATCGCGCTCTGTCATCTTAAGTTTTCCTTTGTATGAGTGCAGATTCGGATACGTAACGTTATGTTAGCGCTGATCAAATATGGTTAAACTATGCTGC